GCTGCTCCCTGGCAGCCCCCACAGCCGGGGGCCTCGTCAGTGTCGGCAGAGGCCTCTCAGCAAGACGAGGCTGACATTTCCCGCACAGCCTGCCACGGGCTGCCTGTCTCCCGGGACGGGGCTCTGGTGGGAGGGGCTGTGGCGTGAAAGGCAGACGTGACAGCCAGGCCTGAGAGACTGGCCCCGCGTGCCCTCCTTCTCCAAGAGCTTGCTGAAGAAGACAGTGCGGCTCCCGCCAGCAATCCGGGAGGGCGCCACGCTGAGATCTTCATGTGCATCCCATCCACCGCCCTCACAGCTACTCAGGGAGGAGGTACAAGGAACGGCCCCATTTTACAGTTGAGAAAACCGAGGCTCAGGGACATGCCATTGATTGCCTGAGGTTGCACAAACAGCGCAGCCCATGCAGGGCCAAGTTCTGCTGGACCTTCGGGTGCTGACCCTTAAACGTCACTTTCCGGAGCCTCAGTTGAAACTATGTCACATAAATGTGGTCCCTACTCGCCGAGAACATCCTCCCGCAACTCAGTGAAGCAGGAGAAAATGACGCTGGCTGGAGAGCTGAAGGCAGAGATTTAATCCTGCTTCTACCACAGACTCCCTCGCTGTGCGACCTTGGGCAAGTCACTTAACCCCTCTGATCCCTTGTCTGAGAGGGATCATCCTGCTGTTCCACAGTCTGGGGGCACCCCCTGCCTCTCTCTCTCTGATTCCCTGGGTCCAGGAGGATTTCCATATTCAGAACGAGGAGGTGGCCCATGGCAACGAGTCTCAGAAGGAACAAACAGCCTGAGAAGGTCCCCAGACGCGGAGTGGAGCAGACCCGGTCGGACCCTCATTAGGGATCTGAGGACTGGAGGGAAGTGACTTGCCCAAGGTCACACGGCACATTAGCTGCCAGGAAAGGATTCCCAGCCCGGCACCTTCCCGAGTGCAGCTGCCACAGCACTGAAAATGTTCAAAGACTTTAAAAGCTTTACCTTTGGCCCTTATTTTTTATTTTAATCTTTATTCCTGTTTCTTTGAAGAAAACAGCCCATTGGGGGTCTTGGAAACTCTTTTTTTCCCTTTTAAACAAAAAATAAGCAAACTAAGCCTAGAAGACCCTAAAGACAGAAATGACATCTCAGCTTCCTCTCACTACCCTCCGGAGGCTCGGTGGCTGTCTCCCTGGGTCCCCGGCGGCTGGCACCGCCATGGAAAGGACCAGCGGGGGGACTTGCTGGACCAGCTGCTGCATAAACAGCAAGCGACTTCAGACAGACTGGAAAATCAGGCACCACTTCAAAGGTGCGATGACAGGCGGTAACGGTGGTGAGAGTGTGGAGGTGGCCTCCCCTGACGACCAGCCCAGAGCGGGAGGCTGGACCGGCTGCTGCGCTCTCGCAGAGAAACAGCCGCCGCAAGGACAGGCGCCGCCTCTCGCCACCCGCGAGGAAGCTCTTACAATATTTGTCAACCCCTGAGCTGCAGGAGGCTGGGTGAACCTGCCTCGGGGGGTGAGGGGGAGTGAGGGAGAACAGAGCGCCGGCCCACAGGCTGACACAGCCGGGCCTGACCCCTTTCCTATCTCCTTGACTCACCTGCAGAGCTTGGGGCCTGGGGCGGAGGCCTGGGGGCCGGGGAGCCCAGCACGGCTCTGGCCAGCTGAGAGGGAGGAGGGGAGCCCCAGGCCCTGGCCGGGCAGTGTGGCCCCAGCAAACCTTGGGGTCACACGGTTCCTCCCCCCTTCACAGATGAGGGGGAGTAAAGCGAAGTGGTGGAGGGTGCGGGTGCGGTGCCTGTGTGCACCTCTGTGTGTGTGCACCCGCGTGCCTCCGGTGCCCCCTCCTCTGCACGCAGGCCTCGGGCCCACTCACCCCATCCCAGGCCCCTCACCTCTCCCTCTTCTCCCTCCCCTTCCTCCGACAACGTGGGAACGAGACAGCCCAGGCCGCGTGACCTCAGACAAGGGACCCCACCTCTGGGGGCCTCAGCAGTGAAGTGGGACTGCGGCTTTGCCCTCCTGGAGAGGTGGTGGTACATGGGGCATGGGCTCGCGCCTGGTACACACGAGCCCCCAGTGTACACGGCCCCTCCTCGACCCTCCACCCTCCATCCTCTTCTCTCTCCTCTCCTTAGATCCTTCCCAACCCTTTTCTGTGCCTCCACTTCCCCGTCTGTAAAATGGGAACAAGGCTACCTGTCTCCAAGGCCGGTGGGGAGAATTAGGAAAGACATGCTTAAGCAGGGCCGTGATGCTCGTCACCCTAATGTCCCAGTGGCACACAAACGTGAGTTGTTGTTCCTGACCGGCGCAGGGGCATTGGTCCATGTGTGTGCTGAGCTGTTCGTACTGCTCTGCAGTGGACCCCGGAATGAATGGCCCAGAACACAGTATACGAGTACATCCGTGAAGCCACCACCCAAATAAGAATGTAGAGCCTTTCGGGCAGCCCAGATGATTTCTCTCTCAGCCCACACCTCCCCACCCCTCACCAGAAGTAACCAACGTTTTGGATACAGGCAAAGGTTTAGCCTAGAAAAGCCATGGGGTTTGACTGCAGGGATGGGAATGGATCGGACCGGCAAGGGTGAGGCAAGGGGACCAGGGGGCAGGTCCCCGGCACAGATTGCTTTTGGGGTGAGGAGGCAGGAAAAGGGGGGCTGCCAGGGAAGACGCCTGAGGCTGGGGTCTCCGTGGACCCCTTCCCCAGGAGCCTCCCGCTGCCCGAGGGAGAGGCCGGAAGCGAGCACCGTGGTCACGTGCATCCGTGGGCTCCGGGCTGGGCTGGCCCGGCAGAGCCAGAAACGTGGGCAGCTGCCACCCTCGGGCCTTTGATGTGACAGAGATGGAGACACACACATGCCCGACAATTAATTAATTGTGACTTTCACCGCACAGCGGCTGCTTCCCATTGATCTGCGCCCGTCTGGTGTGAGGGAGACAATTAGGAGGGAGCGCAGCGGCGGCAGCTAATTACCCACAGAACGAAAACCATGCCTTTCAATTTATTAAACTTTTATCACGAAATAACCTGGCCACTCCCTCCTGCTGAGAAGCTACGGGAGGCTGCTCTGGACCGGCACCCCCCGTTTGCCCTTCCCAGACGCTGAAAGTCCTAGGAAGTCACGACTACCTCCTGGCCACGGAAGACCCCCACACACTTGGGCTCCGGGAAACAGAGCAGGAGAGTGGGGACCCCCACGTCATCGAAACCAGCCCCGGGTTCTGAGTAAAATCAGGCAGCAGACCAAATGAGATCAGGCAGGGGTCTTCGAGGAATCTGGAGGGCTAGATGAAGACCTGGACATGTCCCAGCCAGGCTGCTCTCAGATGTCACCCAGCCCCACCCCTGGGGTGACAGGGGCAGCCAGGTGTGCATGCAGGGTGGGCCCTGGGTCAAACCGCAGTCAAGTCTCCCAGGATTGTTACTGCCTACCACTGTTGAGCACTTGCACGGGAGAGACCACCATTCCCATTTTACAGATGTGCAAACCGAAGCTCGGAGAGGAAAAGATGCTCCCTCAAGGGCACACAGCCATGTGCTAAAGCCCCGTTCGAAGCTCCGCTCCCTGAGTCTCTCAGCGCATGGCCTTGGGGAGTGACAAAACTTCTCAGACCTCTCTCCAATATTTGTAAAGTAGTAATGATGCGGCTACCCCGAAAGGAAGTTGTGAACGCTTAGATATAATAATAATTTTTTAAGACCCTGCCTGCTCCGTAGCATGGTAACTGCCATTGGCAACAGGGAAACTGAGGCTCTGAGATGGGGTCACAGCTCGAGGCCAGCACTCCGGCTGCAGGGGGAGCAGAGGGTCCCCAGCCAGCCCTCTGCCTGCTCCGTAAACATCTCTAAGTCCGGGCCGGTTCTGCCTCTTGTTGGATGTCTGTGCGGGACCTTAAGCAGACCACCCACGGGCAGGACTTTGGTGCCCTTAGATCTGCTTGGCTTTGGGGATACTCCTACGGGCGCCACATCCGTGGGGTCTGCCCACAGTCCCAGGAGACAGGCAGGAGAGTGCCCGTTAGAGATGAAGGTGCTGACACCTGAGAAGGAAGGGAGGTGACTGAGGCAGCACCAGCCAGGGCGAGCACCTGGTCTGCAGGAACAAGTGCCTCGGCCCGGCTCTCACTGCAGCTTGGAACTGCACCCCCGGCTGGCCCCAGAGGCTGACCCATGAGACTTGACTTTCTCCCCTCCCTGCCTGATCCAGCCCACCTCCAGAAAGCCCCCCCGCAGCATCGGCTCCTGCAGGAGGTAGTAAGAACGAAGGGAGGGGTGCTCGGTCCACCACACCAGCCCCTACCCCAGTACGTGCCAACATCCACCCCAGGGCTCCCGGCAACTGTCTATCTGCCTGGAGTCCAGAGACTGGAGAAATGGAGGTGTGGGGGGGCTAAAGAGGGTGGCTGGGCAGACTTTTTCCCGGGGGAGGAAGTAGCTGGGCCAGGGGCCATTGCCCTGTTTTCCCTGGGCCTTTACTCCAAGTCCCCAGAGGCACTTGCTGACGCTGAACTCACGCTCCCTCTTTAGGCTCATCCTTCCCGTTAATGTGGCCAGGATTCTCCGAGCAAGTGCTATGCGTTTCTTGAATAAGTAATCCCTAGTATTTTGTGAGCAGGACCTGGACAAGGACAAAGTGAGTGAGCTGCTCAGGGCCTGCAAACTTCTAAGACGGCGCTCACTCCCCGGGGTTGATGCTGCACTTTCACAGGCGTGCAAGTGTGTGCCTCCTTAAATTTGGCTCCCTGGGAGCCTCGCTCTCCTCCCCCTCGTCCTGGTTCAGAATTCCAAGCAAAGCAGAAGGAGAACGTGCCTGGGAGCAGGAGGGACACTCCTGAAGACTTTCAATCACCAGTCACACCACCAGCAAGGCAGACTGGTGAGGACGAGCCCCCGGGGGGGAGGGGGGGTTTGACTGGACAGCACGTGGCCCACAGAGGGCGCTGTGGGTGTATCTTGATGCTTTCTAGTAAGAGCCCCCAGTTACTGGACATCTACTGAATGCCAGACCACGTTAGACACCTTCTGGGCTGCCCAGCTCCCGGAACAGCCTGACAAGTGTGTATTACCGCCGTCTTACAATGAGGAAACTGAGACTCAGGAGTGACTTTCCAAGGTCACACAGGTAAGGACCGGCGGTGTTCAGACTCAAAGCCAGTCCTCCCTGAGCCCGCGGCCTGTCCCTCCTCCTCCCCCAGTGCGCAGGACACAAGGACTGCAGGTGTTCTGGGGAACCCAGCAGGTGGGCTCCCCACTCCTACGACCCCTGCAGCCCCCTCATCTTGAAGGACGGCCCCCGCAGTCAGGACCACCATTCCCAGAGCCTGGCCCTCCTCGGCAGCCCAGCCGGCAGCCGGCAGCCGTGTTGCCGCTCCGACAGCCTTTTCCAGGAGCCCGCCAGGGATTGATTTGCATACTACGGTGTCATTTGCATACTACTTAGGAAAGCCTTTGCTTTTCCCACCTGCAGCAAACTCCAGCCTGATTAGTTCTCCCCACATTGGAGAGTTAATTACTCTCCCGCGTAGACCGGGTGTTTATTTGTAATCAGCAGAGGGCTGGGAGGAGGGGGGGGCCGGCAGAAGCAGCTGTCCTTAGCGAAGCCTGGAGCAGCTCCGCGGGTAGATGAGTGCGGGCTGGGGCGCCACCGACGTGGCCCAAACCCCGGCCCTGCCCTGGCAGCTGTGGGACCCTGGGCACGCCCAGCCCAGGGGAAGGGGAAGGGGAGATTGGAGCCGAGGTTAGGGGCGTGTAGGACCACTGCCTGCAGTGGGCTGCTGGCAGGATTGGACAGAAGTGGAGGCTCAGAGCGTCACAATAGAGAAAGGCGAACCGGAACGCAGAAGCCTGGGAAGGGACAGGCCTGGGACTTCGGATGTTGTCTGATGTCTCTCCCGGACACCTTTGAGGACAGCCCTAGGGAGGGGCTGGTGGGCGGAGTCCTGCCCCCCCCCGCCCCCCCGGACTGGGGACTGGGCCCGCTCTGCTGTGTGACACTGGAACTGGCTGCCCTCTCTGAGCCTCCGTCCTCCTGTCAGTGCCCTGGGGATGATGACAATAGTCTCTCTAGTCTCCTTGCGGGGAATCACGTGAGCCAGGCGGGGGCTGTGAAAAACACCATCTCTACTCAGACCGAAGAAATATTTCTGAATTCCCAGGTTGGAAATGGTCTTAGCCCCGGGGGAAACTTAGTGACCACCCTTCCCTGCTGCCCTGCCCAACAAAGCTGGACGTGCCCCGCTGTCCCCCTCCATCCAGGCATTGAAACCCTTCAGCACCTGCTCCCCAGTTGTCAGATGCTTCAAGGCTATGCCCAAAGGTGCAGGGCAGGCTCAGCCACTGTGTCAACTCCAGAAAGACCCCCCACCCCAACGTGTTGCTGTCAGAGCTCCACAGGGATACCGGGCTGCCAGCCTCCACTCCCCTGGGGCTCCTGAGGGGGCGGGGGACGCAGAAAGCCCACCCCAGAGATTCTGCTGCCGTAGGGAGGAGTGCAGGTCAGGTTGTGGTATCCTTCTTTTCTTAACTTTATCGATTTGAGAGAGAGAGGGAGAGAGATGAGAGAGGAACATTGATCCGTTGTTCCTCTTATTGACACATTCATTAGTTCCTTCTTGTATGTGCCCTGACCAGGGATCAGTCCCACAACCTTGGTGCATGGGGACGATGCCCCAACCAGCTGAGCTCCCCAGCCAGGGCCAACAGCTAGGGTAGTTTGAAGCAGCTCCCCCAGGTGCTGTTTCAACTCCTCCCCCTTTTTTTTACAGGTGGGGTGGCCCTCAGGCTGACCTGCACTCCCACTGCGGCACCCACCGGAATCTCTGAGGGATGTCCCAGGACACCCAGCTGAGCTGAGAGAAGAACCCCAGTCCCCTGCCTCCCGCCCATGGTGGTGTCCCCTGATGAAATTCGGGGGCAGGGAGAGATGCTAGAGGGCAGCCTGCCATGGCAATGACCAGAGGGTCATGGTGGGGGCCTGGCTTGGGTCTGTGGCTAGCCCTGACCGTGACCGTGCAGTGACCGTGACCATGTCCCCCGAGCAGTGACCGTGACCATGTTCCCCTGGGAAGCCGAGAGGAGCGCCCCCTTCAGCCAGCCTCTTCCCACCGAGACGGGCTTCCCGGTGAGCCAGAGGGGTGGGAAATAGCCACTCGCCCACGGGCTGTGTGATCTCTGTAGGCTGCCGGATAGAATGTGGAGTGGACCTTTTTTTCCGAATATAAACACATCCCATGCATACCCTTGTTGACGTGAAATTCAAATTGAACGAAGCATTTTATAGTTTTATTTGTTAAATCCGGCCACCCCAAACCCATGAGCAAGTCGCTTCATTTTTTTGAGACTCAGCTCCTTCCTTCATCTTTGAAAATAAACCCAAACACCGCCCTGCGAGGACGCTATGTAAATGAAGTGAGCTGATGGGTGTAAGGGGGCTGGCGCAGGGGAGATGAGTGCACGAAGCTGGCGAATCTCGCAGTCAGAGTCCAGTTCCCAATGCTTTCACCTTCTCCATTCTCCTCGTCCTTTCAGAGTTCCTGGTGTGGGCCCTCCGTGTGGGGGGCAACAGTGAGCATCTTCAGAAAGGTACCTGATGTGCTGGAAATAATGCTACTATTTCCTGGCTGTGTGACCTTATGTAAGTCGATGGCCCTCTCTGAGCCTCAGCTGCCGCTGTAAAAGGAGCTTATCGGTCGCAGCACTGCCTTCCTGAGGTTGCAATGGTGGAACGAGATCGTCTGTCAAGCACCAGTACTGAGCCTAGCAGTAGTGCCCAGTCACATCCTGCAAATGCACCAAGACACGTCTCCAATGTTAAAAGGTCCTAGAGAAGGCCATGCTCACCTATGGGAACAATGGGTAAAGGTGGGGTTTCAGGCAGGTGATGACAGATGAAGGAAATCATTTCTGCGTGGGGAGCTTTCTCCTGGCTGCTCGCCCACACCTCTGACTGACCCTCGGATCTGTGTGAGCCAGTATTATCCTGGGCTCTGGGCGCCGCAGTCCCTGACTGTGGGGCCGGACAGCCCCCAGGACCTAGGGCCTGGCCCCCACAAGGCAGAGGCAAGGGTCCTTGCTGGCCATTGCAGCAGGCTGTTTGTTTCCCAAACTCTCTCTAATCCTCTTAATCTTTTTACATCTCACCTGCCTGTACCCCTGGTGGCTTCCATTAGCACCTTTCCCGATAGATCTGGTGTTGGGAAGGTCTCCCAGAGCCGCTCTACCCGGCCCTGGCGGGCTTGGCGGCTTCCCTCTCCCTCTGGGCGGCCAGGATGCTGGGCTCCAGGTGGGGCCCCGCGGGGGAGCGGGGAGGAGGCTTTCTCAACTGGTCTCTGTGCCCTGGCCCGCTGAGTGGCAGGAGCGGGGAGGAGGAGGAGGAGAGGGGACTTTTGCTAAGTGCCTGCCACGTGTCAGAGACAAACCACAAGGATCTGAAGCCTGGCCTCAGTCTGAAGGGTCATTGTCATCCTCACGCTGCCTCTATCTCCTTAACGCAGTACTCACTGTCTGCATTCCCCTCCGTTTCTCGTAAAACACTCCCCCAAACTGCTTTCATCTGCCAAGAGAGATGCGAAGGATAGAGACAGCGCACTGAGGGTGTGTGGCAGGCTCGGCGGCTCCCTCCCGTTCCCCAAGCAGCCCCTCCCAGCAGAGCCTGAGAATAAAGGAGAGGCCCAGGAGGGCCCTAGAGGGGAAGGCTTTCTGCCACAGGACCAAATGAAGACAACTTTCTTGTAAAGAGCAGGGAGAGGAGGAAGAACGCGTGAGAGGGAGAAAAGGGGTTCAGGCAGAGGGTGCAGCAGGGGTTTGTTGTTTTGTGGGGCAGCGGAGGGGAGAGGGAGGGCCTCGGCGTAAGCCCCGTGCCTCTCGCTGGCGTTCACACACCCACACGGCGGAGGCCCGAGCACGCGTGTTCGCAGGGTGGCACCGGGGGAGGACCCGGGCAGGGGTGCTCTCCGAGGCCTTATCCATCACAACCCCAGAAGTCCACAGGAGGAGGGCTGACCAAAGGGAGCCATAGGCACACGGCGGAATACTACTCAGCAGTGAAAACGGAACCGATTCACACAGTAGGACGGCTGACTCTCACAAGCATGAGACGAGAGAGAAGCAGGGCACAAAAGACACAAATTGGATTATTCTATTTACGTGGAGTTCAGAATAGCCAGAAGTAACCGATGGTGGTAGAAGTCAGAACACACTGGTCCGTTTGGGTGTGTGGGGCTGATTTAAGGGGCCCAAGGACACCCGCTGGGGTGACGGAAATGTCCTGTCTCTCAGGCTGGGTGGTGGCAAGCGGGGAATTCACAAACATGAAAAGCCACTGAGCAGGGCACTCAAGACTTGTACCTTTTACTGCATGTAAATTAAATCTCAATTTTTTAATTAAAAAATACAAGAAACTCAGAGTTCCATTCCATACACATTTGACTATCTGCCTTTTGCCTAATAAGATTCAGAGAGAGAGAGAGAGAGCGTGAGCTAAAGACACTGGTTGGAATTCGGTAGTAAGTGCCGCCGTCACCGCGGGGCACCCCACCCCCCACCCTAGGAGCCCGTTTCTGCGGCGAACGGAAGGAAAGGAGGGGACCTGCCTGGACCTGCTGTCCCCGGGTCTGCCACAGACCCTGCGAGTGCCTCCCGGCTGGGTAGGACTCCATTCTGTAAGGGTTCCATGTCTTTCTTTTTTTCCAAAAAGGGCACATGCATTAGCCAAGTGACACTCAACTAAGAAAAGAGAAATCTGTTCTGATGTCAGAGCCAAAGGCGACAGCAGAAAGCTGCTGTGAAACTCCGTGGTTTCCAACACACGCTTTCCTCAGACTTTTTTCCCAACAGTGGCACTGACCACTTCCAATTTTTGCCTAACATGCTGATTTCGGAACCCAGCCCTTGAACGAGCTGTGACTCCACTGTGAAGAATTTGAGTAATTCAGAGGTGTTTTGTTTGTTTGTTTGTTTTGTTTTGTTTTGTTTTTGCAGGGGGACGCTATTCCTTAGGCCCCTGGCCGCCCCCTGGGGCTGGGCCTCGTGGATCTGCACGCAGCAGTGCGAGGGGTTCCCTCTCACCCGGCCACCCTCTGCCTCGCCTCCGCCAGCCTGAGCTTGGAGAAATGGCCTGTCCCCTCTGCCTGGACATGTCCCTGTTGTGACATTCACGGGCCATCACTGACCCATCCACTTTTCACACTAATGACACGTTCATTACTGTCGATGCCTCTTATTCCTCCGAAGCGTTTAGGCTCTTGCAACGGCCTGATAAGTAAAATCCTCCCACGCTTGGCAATAAGGCAGACAGATAACTGGTGTCCTTTCAAAGTCAAATGAGCACAGTGTCTGACAAGTCCTCCTAAGGGTCGTCTGACACTCGAGGGGAATGTCACTTTGCTGGACTTATTGTTTACTATTGATCAGGGCTTGGGTTCTGGAAAGATAGCTGTTGGCTGGCAGAAAACTGATAAGTTGCAAATTATTTTTGTCTGGTAGAGATGCAAATGATTTCTTTTTTAATAGAGAAGGTAGCCCCAACATTATGATTGTATTGCCCTGTAGGCCATTCACCAGTTTTGGGCTAACTTAACCACCTTATGAATGTTCTAGAATTCTTATTTATTGTTGTTTTGTTTTCACTGACTCTCTTCTCTCCAAAATGTAGGTCCGTGTATGTTTCTTGTCCATGTGTGTTTCTTCTGAGAGTCGTCACTTGAACTAGCTTTGTCATCCTGCTGGTTCCCTCACTAATAAGCCACCCCAAGATCGGCATGTACTCACTAGCTGTTGCTGTAAGAATCGTGTGTTTAGTAGCTTGAGAACTGTGCTCTCAGAGGCCTTCCCCAGGGTCTGGCCTTCCCTCCTGCCGACTCCACCACTCTCCGTGAGGGCCAGTCCTCCTGTCTTTGGTGTCCCGTTCCTTCTTCTGTAAGGTGGGAGCAATCAGGCTGCTGGTTCCGACTCTGACATGTGATTTTCTTCGAATTCCTCTGTCAGGGAAGCAAAACCGAAACAATACAATCAGAGAAAACGAATGCTGGAAGCGGTGTTGTGGACCACGTGGGGCAATCCTTCCTGCTTCCAACCCGATCCCTCATCTTGATAGGTGGAGAAACTGAGGCTCAGAGAGGTGAGGTAACTCGCCCGAGGTCACACAGATATTATTATTCACGATGACTTATTTTAATGTAGGGTTCGACAGTATGAACTTCCTTGCAAGTTTATGTAACCCCTCGGTAGCCCAGTGAGGAGGCTGCATTATCCCCATTTTACAGATAAAGAAACTGAGGTCCGGAGAAATGGTGTGGCTTGTCCAGGGCCACAGAGATTCTCCTAACCTCCTGAATCTGGGGGAGCAAGGGAGGGGCTGGCAGGAGGAGTGCTGGGCCCTCCTTTTACCAAAGCATCCTAGTTCATATCTGTCGGATAGACGTGAGGGGCTATACTAGACAGCAAGTAAAAATAGAGTCCCAGAAGCTGGAAAACCCTGGGCCGAGAACATCTTTATCTGCCTGTGCATAATAGCCCACCCTTTCTCCTCCTTCTCCCTCTGGTGGATTCCTCAGGGAAAAAACATGGTCACGGGAGGAAGCAGAAACACAGGGTCAGCCCAGGCCTGGACACACTGGTCCCCAGGCGGTGGGAGGCAGATTGCTTAATCTAAAGGCGAGTGTTCTCAGGGTCCAAGCTGGCAATGGTGATGCGAGCTGTGCTGACAGATAGTGAGCACCCCGTCAGTGAGAGCAAGCAAGGCTAGATGAGGCATCCAAATATTAACAGCAGTTCTTTAGATGGTAGAATTCATGGGCTTTGTCACTTTTTATTTTATTTTTTTATTTTCACACTAGTACATTTTTTTTTCATTGCATTTTTTTAGAGAGAAAGAGAGAGAGATGTTCATCGATTGGTTGCCTTCTGTATGCGCCTGGACCTGGGATCGGCACCCGGACCCTGGATTGTACATGCCTGTGCCTGCGCCGGGACTGGGGATCAAACACGCAACCTAGGTGTGTGCCCTGACCAGGAATCGAACCCACAGCCTTTCGGTTACAGGACGATGCTCCAACCAAAGAAGCCACACTGGCTGGGGCTGTCACTATTTTTTAAATGTTTTTTGAAAGCTCATTATTAGGCCTTCACCGTGTGCCCAGTTCGTGTCATTAGAGCTCTATGGCGACTCAATGAGGCGGAGAAGCTGCTGCTCCCAGCGCACCAGTAGGAAAAGCCAGTGCTCAGGAGGCTCCGTGCTCTTCCCAGGACGCGCACCCGGGACGTGGCGCGTCTAGACAGCTGGTCTCCGGCTGCTCGTTGCTGCTGCACTGTTCTTCCTTCTCAGTGCTTTCCTGTGTCCACAAACTTTGACAATGCGTACCCATTGCTGCTTTCATATCCGAAAGCAGCCTTACAAGTTACTGATTTTCCCAGTCCTGCTCAGAACACCTTCCACAGCCCTTGGTCCTTGATCCCTCCCCCCGGCCCCACCGCTGTCCCTGTCCCCACACCAGCTGTGGCTTGGGGTAGGCTGTCCAATGTCCTGGTCTTGCTGAGGTCTGCTCAAAATGTCCCGGGTCAGCCTCCGGCCCCTGGGGCAATGCCAGGGGCAGGTCCAGAGAAGGAGAAGGGGAAGTGGGAGGGGATGTGAAACTTGGCCGCTAGCCGGCATCAGCCTCCAGGGTGTCCCACAGAGGCCCCTGGGTGGACAGCAGGAACATCCAGTTGAGCTGACCACCCAAGGCAGGTGAGGCCAGCGCCTGAGAGGGAGCGGGCTGCGAAGGTCAGGAACCGGGAGCAGGCCTAGGGCTGGGCCACTGAGGCTGGCGGGAGGGGGAGCGCGTCTCTCTGGCCTGGGCCAGGCCGGGGTGGGGTGGGGCACTTACTCAGAACCCAGGATCATTGAGTGGGGGTGGGGGTAGGAGGGGGCACTTAACTCCCTGGGCCTGGGGACGGTGGGAGGTGGGGACACAGACCCATCAGCTCTAACCAGAGTTTCTGGGTCCTGACTGCCCCAAACACAAGAAGCTGGAGGCCGAGAGGTTCAGAGCCCAGCACAAGGGTCTTGCAGAGGAGGCCGTGGGGGACAGTCAGCCTGCAAGGGGACGCGTGTGGAGGGGAGTGAGCAGGTGTGCGGGCAGGCGTTCGTGAATTCCCGCGTGCACGCACCGCTCTGCCGTCGGGGTGAGAGAGTGCTGGTTCAGCAGGGGGCGGCCTCCCCATAAATGTTTGCTCAGTGGAATGGGTCGTCTGCAGGGGTGTAGGGACGTGTGTGCGTCCAGGTGAGTGAGGGGTGGAGTCGGTCTGCGCGCCTGGCAGTGTGTGAGTGAGAGGCCGTTCGTGCGTCTGCGAGTGTGACCTCATGGGTGTGCTCAGCAGTCTGTGCACATCTGTGTGCGTCCGTGGTTCTCTGTAAAGGTTCATGCTCCCTGGAGCTGGGTGGGGTGTGGACGCAGACGCCCCTCAAGCGGGGAGGTGTGCACTGGTGGTAACGGGATGAGGAGATATCGTTGTGTGTGTGTGGAGGGGGGGACTCAAGTATGAGAACTGGGTGTACATGCGTGGGTGGTGTCCAGCCACCCGGACCCTGTTGTGTCTCTGCAGCGGCATCATGGAAGCCCCATGGGGCTGGCTGGTGGTTGGTGTGCTGGCCATGACCCTGGCGTCCACGCTGGCCCAGGACGTTTGCCAAGCACCAAACGGGCAGAACGGGGCTGCAGGGAGACCTGGCCGACCTGGGCGGCCGGGCCTCAAGGGGGAGCGAGGGGAGCCAGGTAAGTACCTCCCTCTGAACCCTGGCCCCTCATCCCTTTACGTGGCCTGGGCTGCAGGGTGGAGGCTTGGGGGTGGCACCAAAAAGCAGGAGGCTACCACATAAAGCCCCTCCAATCTCCCTTGGTCTCAGAGTCTGAGGCGGGGGGCCTGGCCTTTTCCCCGGACCATGTCCCCAGACTTGCAGGCTTCTCCATGTCCTCCTAGCTGCCCGAGCCCTCTGTCCTCGGCCTTGTCTGTCTCCTCTGGGAATGGGTCACTGCAAGCAATGAATGGGACTGGTCCTGAAACTGCACCCAGTCCTCGGTCGTTGTGTGCCCTGGGTGTTAGACCTGGGTGCCCTTCCTTGTCTTGCTGTGTGCCCCTCTGGGAGACTCAGCCTCCTCATCTGTAAAACGGAGAGATAACCCCGCCCGGCACACAGAGAGGGATCACTTAGTGCCGCTATCCTTGTTTGCTTCTTTTCACCCACACCCCCCTTCTCCCCCTTTCCAGCCCGTCCAGGCTTCTGAAACTCTCACGTGGGAGGGGAAAGCCTGGGGGTGACGGGAAAGGGAGGAGGCCATGAGCAGAACGGGGAAGGGAAGTCTCTCGGAACCCGCCCCCCTCCCCCAACTTCACAGTCCACAGCAGACAGGAAAGACCTGCAGGGACGTTCGTTCGCAACAATTTGCCTTCAGGCACCCTGAAACTTCAAAGGGGTGCAGGTCCGCGGGCAGAGGCACAGTGGGGGAACCAGTGCCCTGCATTTCCCAGAACGTGACACTTCCCCAAGCACTTGTTCACGCTTCCATCCATTGTATCAATAAAGAAGCTGAGGCTCAGAGAGGCTGAGGTACTTGCCCAAGGTCACAGGGCCACCCAGAATCAATGTCTTAAAGGCCCAGGCACTCCCCTATCCACTATCCCACCGCATCCTGGGGTCCCAGCCACCTCCCCGAGGACGGGCAGACACTGGACTTTCACTCCCACCCTGGCCTTCCTCCCCACAGGGGCCCCTGGCATCCGGACAGGCATCCGAGGTCTTAAAGGAGACGAGGGGGACCCCGGGCCCCCTGGCATCCCTGGCAAAATGGGCTACCCAGGCCCCAGTGGTCCCCTGGGTGCCCCTGGCATCCCGGGAGACAGGGGCATCAAGGGCAACCCAGGAGACATCAACGACCAGCCGAGGCCGGCCTTCTCGGCCATAAGGCGGAACCCGCCGACAGTCGGCAACGTGGTCATCTTCGACACGGTCATCACCAACGAGGAAGGCCGCTACCAGAGCCGCTCGGGCAAGTTCGTCTGTGCCGTGCCGGGCTACTACTACTTCACCTTCCAGGTGGTGTCCAAGTGGGACATCTGCCTGTCCATCATGTCCTCCAGGAGTGGCCTGACCCAGCGCTCCTTGGGCTTCTGTGACACCAACAGCAAGGGCATGTTCCAGGTGGTGTCCGGGGGCACGGTGCTCCAGCTGCAGAACGGAGACCAGGTCTGGATCGAAAAAGACCCCGTGAAGGGCCGCATCTACCAGGGCCCCGAGGCGGACAGCGTCTTCAGTGGCTTCCTCATCTTCCCATCCGCCTGAACCAGGGCGGGACCCCTCCCCTCCCCTGGCCTCGCCTGCTTCCTGCTGTGTGACCCGGGCCCACTCGCTCCACCTCTCTGGGGTCTGTGCTCTGCTCTGTCAAGTGGGGTGCTGCTGTGTTAGCTGAAGAAAGATCCTTTCTTGGAACTCGTCCTGGAATAAATGCCTGTGTCCCTGTCTGCTGGCTTGAGACTCAGTTGCTGCCCCGGGCACTGGGAGGCAGGCGTGAGAAGGACAACAGTTCGGTGCTTACAGCCAGGCCCTTATTCGGTATTTTACAACGTATGTTGGACAGGTCCCGGGGGCCTCATCGGCTTGGGTGCAAATCCTGAGGCCGCCATTTACGGGTGGCCCAGTTGAGTCTGTCGTGTAACTTCAGGGAGCCTCAGTTTCCCGGTCTGGAAGGTGGGAATAAGAATAGCCCCTGTCTCAGAGGGTGTGGGAGGGCTAAAGGAATTACTCTGTGAAAATAGTGGTGCGGTGCCTGCTTCGTCGTCAGGGCTACATCAGTTCAGCTATTGTTACATTTTGTATAATCTTTACAGTCGGGCTCTGAGATGGGAATTATAACCCTGTTTTCCAGATAATAAAGCTGAGGCTGGGCGCTGGGGCAGGCATAAAGCGCAGGAGCTGGGATTTAACTCCAGGTGTTGCTGGTGCCCAAGCCTGGGGGTCTAACCACTGCCCTGTCAGCCTCCACAGCCACACGCCTGACAAATGACCCGAAAGGCAGGGGCAGGGCTTGGGGGTGGGGGGCAGTTGGCCCAAGGGCATCCACCTGTCCTCCCCAAAGGCAGTTTCCTGAGTCCGGCCCCGGGCTTCAACCCCGGCAGGCACGGAGGCTGGGGCCGCAAGACTGGGGCGGTGGGTCCGGAACGTCCATGGCTCATTCCCAGGGTCCCACGAGGCCCATCCAGGAGCTGCAAGGGAGCAAGAAGCCGGCCCGGTGTGCCCTGTGCATGTGAGGAAAATGAGGAGACCAGCAGTCGGTCCCGAGAATGTCCATTGCCCCGCGCATTTTCCCAGGGGGGCTGGCTTATCTTTGTGCTGCATGCACACACACGCACGCATGCACACAAGCACACACGTGCACGCACACCACGAATGCACACCTCCCCACATTCCCGGACCAAGACTTGTCCCCTTCTCACTGAAACACGGGCACAGGATCCCCTCCCTCAGCGCACACTCACTTTCTTAGACACACCCGTGCACACCCCCTGGACATCCACAGGCGTTACACCAACAAACCCACAGCCCTACCCGGGGATTTACGGGCCGTCACACCTACGAGCCCCTGCCTCAGACGCCTGAGGGCCCGGGTGAACTGTCACAAGTACTCTGACACACACGCCTTGAGACGGGTGACCCAGGACACCCCTGACACGCAGGGGTGTGTACCCCCACTCCCTCCGGCAGGCCCGTGCTTGCTCACACATCACCGGCACCCCCCAGGGACTGTCTCCCCCAACCACTAACGGACACACAAGCAGCCTCAGAGTCCGAACGCACAAACCCCCGCCCCTGTCTCCGACACAGCCAAGACCCTGGCCTGCGGCGGCCCGGCCGAAAGCCTATGGGAGTCAGGAAGAAAGGAGGGACACCCTGTAGCCCTGGGGCAGTGCTGGATGCTGCAGGGCCTTCAGACCCACTGGGTCCCCGCTCTGCCCCAGTGACCCTCCTGCCCCCCAGAACACACCCACCCCTGGGCTGGGAAGAGAAACAGGTCGTTGAGCACCTTCTGTGTGCGGACATGTCACCCACTGATACATGTAACCCCAGCAAAGCGATGAGGATGCTGAGGCTCAAAGAAGGAAGGCATTGACTCAAGGTCACACTGCCAGAGTGGCAGGACCTAGATTTGAACCTGCTCTGCCTGATCCCCAAGTGGAGGGCTTCTCTCACTGCAGTGAGACTCAAAGGAGAGGGCAGCGGTGGAGCCCCAAGGGGGCGGGAGGGACCAGGCTGTAGAAACAGTGGTCCCGCCTTACCCTGAATCCCGCCCATACCGACCCACCTCTGCCAGGCAAACCGCTGCCCCCTCCGAAAGGAAGGGACCCAGCTGGACCGGCAGGTGGGGCGGGGAAGTGCCGAGCACGGGCGGAGGCTGCCATCTGCTGGACAAAGCAGACCGAGGCGCAAGTGAGGGGAGGAAGATGGGAGCTCAGGTGCCATCCATCCGCTCCCCGCCCCGGGAATCTCAGGGCCAAGTGCACTCACATCTTTGCTCTCGCCCCACACTCTGCAGCCTCATGCCAGCATGTGGAGGGGCGGGTGGGGAGACTGAGGCCCCGAGGATCCCCTGGGGAGGCAGGGGCGAGGCTCTGAACTCCCGCTCATGCCCCAGAGTCCTCAGCACTGCCCTGCACGGGAGCCAGTGGGACCCCCCATTTACGGAGCAGGACCCGGCGCCGAATGCCACAGGTGGCAGGGGTGGGGCCAGGGCTGGGGGGCTCCGCAGCCTGCCACCTCCTTCCTCCCTGGAATCTTGTAGGAGGAGAAGAGGAGGTGGGGGCCTCTCCCAGCTCTGCCAGCCCGACCCTTGGGCCGTAGGAGGCTCCAAGAGGCTCCAAGACCATAAGAGGCTCCAAGACCAAAGGCAGGGGTGCCAGGGGGAGAGGTGAGGGGGGCAGTGCAGGCAGGGAAGGTGGGTTCATCGGGGGCCCCAGCCGAGGAAGAGATGCCCACGTGCGCAGCCCCGGCCCTCTGCACCATCCAGTGAAGGGCTGGGGGACAGGCCCGGGTGGGGTCCGTGGTCTGCTGAAGGTCCCAGGCAAGGGGGCGGCAGGGCTGGAAATGAACCCCTGAGGCCACCGACAGCAGCCAGAGGAGCCCGTCCGACTCAGCAGGCTGCCTGCCATCAAAGTTCACCTGTCCTGGGCGTCCAGCCCCAACTGTGATATGGGCGGGGGCACATGGAAGCTTCTAGAACCAGGCCTGCCACTTGACAAGTGCACAGGAGGCTTGTTTCTGTGGGAGCTGAGCAGAGGGGTCAGAGCAAGGCTTCGGACCCCCAGAACCCACTCACTACGTGGTTCCTTTGGGCAAATGCCCAGGCCTCCCTGAGCCTCAGTGTCCTCACCTGTCAGGGGACAACGATTTCCTCCTTGGGTGGGGGGGGGTGAAGCAGCTGAGTCTCGGGCACAAGGAGTGCCAGCCAGTGGGGACAGGTGTCCAAGGGCGGAACTTGTCTCCAGGGGAAGTCTGCCCAGGAGGCTGTGTTTACACAGACACAGGCGCGCACACGCCCTCCGCCAGATCCGGAGTGGTGGACGTTTCCCCATTTCGGACACGCGTGACCTGGGGGTGGGGGCCACGGAAGTGTCACTGTGGTCAGCCTGGCTCAGTGCCCGAAAGAAAGTATCGAGTCAGGAAAAAATATGGGAAAGGGGATGTGCGACTGCGGGGAGGGTGGGAGGCGGGGGCCACCCAGTCCGCTCGGGGCCCTCCCTGCTGTGTCCACTCTGAGACGGTGTCCTCCTGCCTTGGAGAGGGGAAGCAGATTGGAAGGCATCTCAGTGACCAGGCCACAGACCTCCTACCCCCAGGTGAGGCCAGGACCCCGGTCCAGGTGAGGGTGAATGGAGGTTATTTTCCCCACCACCTTCCTGAGACATGGCCCCGGGGACAGCCTGATTTGTGAGAGAAGGTGGGGGGTTCCCATCCCCGCTAAGCTGGGGGTCTGAGCTCCAAGTCATTCCCCCACCGTCCATGCATCGTGCGGCCCCAAGGGGTGAGGGGCCCGGGGAAGGGAGGTGGCTTCCTGAGGGTGGAGGGGGATGAGCCCTGGGCAGTGAGAGGGCGAGGAGGGGGGGCAAGGGGCCGGGTGGGCCAGCCCAGGTCTCCCGTCCAGCTCCTTCCCCAGGATGGACAGGGGCTCCAGCTCCTGGGCCCACCTTGGACTGAACCTGCTGCTGCTCCTGCTGGCGCTGCCGCCCAAGAGCCAGGCCAGCACGCAGTGCTATGGGATCCCCGGGATGCCGGGCCTGCCCGGGGCCCCAGGGAAGGACGGGCACGACGGACTGCAAGGGCCCAAGGGTGAACCAGGTGAGTGGGCGGGCCTCGTGGGGAGGGGTCGCCCAGGCCTGGGGGCGGGGGCGGGTCTGGGGAAAGGACAGCAACCCCATGGCAAGGAGCCTGGTCCCTCCTGCCACGGCTGCTCCCGGGGCACAGCCCCGCTCTCTCGGCAGGGGTAGCCCCTTAGAGCCCAGGCCTCAGGCCCCCTCAGACTGCTCACCTGATGCTAGGGAGAGAAGACAGGCCCCTGCTCAGAAGGCAGCGGGGAGGGCCACAGGACAGGGACCACGGGGAAACCTCTGGCAAACTCTAAAATGCCAGGCTACTGTTGTGTTACAACCCCTCTACTACTCGCTCTGCAACATGGACCCCTGGGGAAGGTGGGGCGAGCACAGGGAGTGTATACAATGCACAGATGAGCAGGGTTCAAGTCCCAGCCCCACTGCTTCCCACTGTGTGAACTTGTGCAAAGCACTTGCTCACCATCTGGTGCCTCGGTCTCCTCATCCGTGAAGCGGGGAGAGGGTAGTGCCTACTGCACAGGGTGCTATGGTGATTAAGTTATAAAACTGCCAAACACGGGGAAGGCATCGCAAAATGTAGGCTATGGTGGTTATTGCTGTTGTTATCGTTGTTTCCACCAGAAATCTGTGCTCACCTCCTCCCTAAGATCTGGGCAGTTGGAGGGGTAGGGGTGAGAAGTCAGGATCCCAGGAACCTTCTGTTGGGGATTCACAGGCAAGCTCCAGCCTGAGCAAAGGGGCTGAGGACAGGAGCGGGGCTGGTGCTGGCTGAGGCTGGGCTGGTGCTGGCTGAGGCTGGAGTCTTCGGTGCGGTGCCCCCTTTGAAGTAGGCGCATATCTGGGACACGGAGGGGTGTGCCTGGGGGTGGCATGTGTGAGGCTGGGCTGGGGGTGGGCAGAGCTGATGGGGGAGGCAGAGGTGGGGGGATGGGGAGCCAGTGCAGAGGAATGTCCTTAGGAATTTCCCCAAGTCACCTTCCCTCCTGGCAACGGAGTGGAATTTTACCAACATTCCAGAAGAAATCCTCCAGTTCGGGGTGAGCTGAAGGAGGATCCCCAGGTGTGCCATTTTTGGGGACCCTGTGCTTCAGGCTGCCTCTGACCACCTCACTGCCCAGGGGCAGAGGGCCCCTAACTTTTTGAGCTCCTGCCTGTGCCAGGTGTGGTTCCAAGTGGGGCAGATCAAACTCTTAACTCGTTTGCAAATGAACAAAACTGTGGCCCAAATCCTTTGAAGAAGTGATTTACTCCTGTTTATAAATGTTAAAGCTGAGGTTCAGAGAGGTTGAGCAACCTGCCTAAAGTCACACAGTGGAGCCCTGTCCAACTCCAAAGGCCATTGCCTTAACCACTGCCGTCCACCGCCTCTCAGGCCCCCTCCCCACGGCTGAGGCCTGCCCCTCCCAATCACATGCTGGAAGACATCTCGAAGGATGAGACGCGGCGCCCACTCAGCATCGCTGATGACCGTCACAGGGACCTGGCACTCACTGAGTACTTCCTGCGATGTGCCTGGCACGTGCCTTCTCCCATCCCATTCTCTCCGATGGCTCTGCGGGATCCAGTTCCTTATGCCCTTATCTCAACCGGGCAAAAGAGGCTCAGGAAGGGGCGGTCACCTGCCCAGGGTCACGCAGCCTGAAGCCTAGGTCTGTTGGGTCCTGAGCCCCCGCTCTTAACCCTGGGACCTAAATAGCCCATGAGCCATGTAGAGGATCTGCCACAAGTAGGTTTGCACAGACACCCGCTCCTAAGAAAGCCAGAGGAGGAAGCGGCCATGAGGGCAGGCAGAGGTGGTCAGAGAGGGCTTCCTGGAAGAGGAGTCTGGTGCCGGGCCCTAAAAGATAAGTATGGTTTGGACAAGGGGAGAAGAATCTCACAGAGGCGCAGATGACGGGGGTGGTAACAAGAATCAGACATTCTGACTGCAACTCAGACTTGACTTTGAGCCTTGAATCCACCTCCTACCAGCAACATGGCCTTGGGCAAGCATCTGATCTTAATCGTCTCCCCTTCAAAGTGAGGAGAGCAGAACCCGGCCAGCTGTCACGAGCAGCTGAAGCGGGCTGAGCGGGGCGGGGGCAGCAGGCGGGAGCAGCGCCCTTCGAGGGGCAGCTTCTCTTCAGCTCTGTCCAGTGGTTCCCACGCACTGAGCTGGCCTGGGGCGCAGACATGGGTTTGGCAGGGCTCCGAGACTTGTCGAATTTGAAGGCCCTCTTTTAGAAAAACAACCCTAAATGAGGGGTACATCTGATGGCAGGGAGGGGGTGTCACACACATCTACACACACTATGGAATTGTGTTAGAACTATGCACGCACACACAGTGTGCACAGTGTGTGTGAGTGGAGCTTGGTGGGTCGCACCAAGGTCCCCGTCCCGGGCGTGAGGATGTGCCAGGGGGACAACTAGGGGACCAGCCCATGGGACCTTCTTGCCTCTTTTGTTTCAACTTCCTGTGGGTCTGTGATTATTTTAACATTAAAAGTTGAAAAACTTTGTAAATATAATGTTAGGCAAAGGGCCTTGAAGGGGCCAGTGCCCGTGGCAGGACCTGAAACCGGACCTGGGAGCTCCCCGGGGAATCTGCCTCGGACCGATCTCCCGATTTTCGTCAGGGGGAACCGGACTTTCGGGTGAGGGAGGTCTGAACGCACCAACGCTGGGCTGCAAATAAGAAAGTTAGTAACACATCGCGTCGGCCACGTAGAAGCTCTCCGAGGCCACGTGCTGCCCGTGGCCTCTGACACACTGAGATCCCACCCTTGACGCCCCCTGGGCTGGCTACTCCTGCCCTCCGCGTCAGGAATGTGGAGGCTGAGGCCAGGAGACAGTGTCTCAGCCAAGGTCAGAAGGCAAGTCTGTATGCGAGCGGGGGTGGGGCAGGGGGCAGGGGGCAGGGTGCAGGGGGCAGGGCTTGGACTCTGACCCGCTTACCAGCTGTTCTGGCGCCCCTGCTTCCTGCGCATGGCCCCAGGTGGACAGTGCTTCTGGTGGAAAGAGAGTCCAGAGACCAGAACCCAACGGTGTGTCCCCTAGAGGCCAGCGCCAGGGTCCCTCTCCTCTGTCGCCTTCCCCATCACTCCCTTCCCACCTGCTCTCTCCCCAGGCATCCCAGCTGTTCCTGGGACACGAGGACCCAAGGGTCAGAAGGGAGAAGCTGGCACACCGGGCATCCCTGGGAAGAACGGCCCCATGGGAGCCCCCGGGTTGCCGGGGAACCCCGGATTAATGGGGCCCACCGGGGAGCCGGGAGAGGAAGGCAGATACAAGCAGAAGCACCAGTCAGTGTTCACGGTCACACGGCAGACCGTCCAGTACCCGAGAGACAATAGCCTGGTCAAGTTCAACACGGTCATCACTAACCCACAGGGGGATTATGACACAACCACGGGCAAATTCACCTGCAAAGTCCCCGGCCTCTACTACTTCACCCACCACACGTCACAGACGGCCAACCTGTGCGTGCTGCTGTACCACAACGATGTCAAGATGACCACCTTCTGCGACCACATGTCCAACAGCAAGCAGGTCAGCTCCGGCGGGGTGCTGCTGCGTCTGCAGGTGGGCGACGAGGTGTGGCTGGCGGTCAACGACTACAACGGCATGGTGGGCACGGAGGGCTCCGACAGCGTCTTCTCTGGCTTCCTGCTCTTCCCCGACTAGGGCGCCAGGCCCGCCCCACCAGCCCCGGGCCACCCCCACCCCCCCGCCCGGCTTTCCCGCGTGAACTCGCCGTGCCGCACCCATGCTCGGGCCTTTCTCCCCACCCGCCCGATGGACTCCTCCTCCAGAAAGCCCACCCTGACCCCCGCCCCGTGAGTTCTCTCCCTTCTCTGAGTTCCTGCAGGACCCGCTGCCTTGACACTTAGCCAACACCCCTGGTGCCATCATTACTTGTCTCTAAGTGTGGAAGGACTCAGGCAGACCTATAAATAAATGATTAAATCAATGAAAACGCATGGCTCTGAGTCCTCTCTGCCACCTGGAGGAAGCAGGTCTCTTCACCTTCAGAGAGGCCCCTGCCACCGCTGTCTGTGGGCTCCGGACTCACAGGGGCATCTCGCTAGGGCCCCATCCAGGTTGGCGCCGATGCTGGGATGCCCGGCACCATCCGGCCCTTTGGGAGACTCCAAGAGGTCCCCAAGGGGCCATCCGCTGTCACTTGTGAGAGGCAGTGCTGTCGTTAAAGGTATCCGTGTTCACAGGTGAACAAGGGTGTGTTCGAGTTCCCAGATTCATGTTGAATTTCAGGAGCACCTGTCTTGGGGTGGGGTTCGGGCTCGGGTAAGCCCAGCATAGACAAAGGTCAGGTGTGCAATGAACTTGTGCTGAATGAATGAGTGAACTGGGGTGACTGAATGGGTAAGTGGGTAAATCAAGGACTCAGAGCGTGAACGAGTGAGTGAATGAAAGCATCACAACAGCTGGGATTATTGAGCACTCCCTATGCACCAGGCCTGATGCTCACCAACGCGTTACGTTAGTCAGTGTTCATGACCAAGCCCTGAGGGCTCCCTGAGGGCTCCCTGAGGGCAGGGCCGCTTTGGCACGTGCCTGCACATGGTAGGGACACGAGAAGTGTGTGAGCTGGGAAGGAGGGACAGAGAAGGACACGCACACACACGGAGAGAGAGCAGAGGCCAGGGCCGAGGGGCCCGGCCCGGTTCACGGAGCCTGGGTGCCTCCAGCAGGGACGCGGCCGGGGTCACGGGGCCGCTCCGCTCACAGCTCCCCGCCCTCGGCCACTCAGCAGCCCGCCCGGCGATGCCCACGGTGATACATCTTTCTTCTCAGGCCGCTTCTGTTTAAAAAATCAATAGGCCACATATGTGGGCTGCAGCATCAGATCAGAGACCCGTACTCTGGGAAACGACAGTGTTAGGGCCATTTTTATTTTCCATAATTGTTTCCCTGTTGTTCTCTCTTTGTCAGGAGAGACAGGCCTGTGAAAATGCCGGCTTCTCTGCTGGGCTGGGAAGAACTGGGGGAGACGTTTCCAGGGGGCAGGAGAGGAGGGTGTGGGAGTGAGCAGGACAGGGGCCAGCACGAGGCACGCCGAGCTGTGAGGGTCTCCCATTGAGGGGCTTTCGATGTCTTTTCACGAAGGGATGCAAGTCAGCAGTTCTATGGGCACAGAGGTCAGCTGGTTCCACTCAGGGGTCAAGACTCAGAGACCCCCTCACTCCTTGTCCCTGGTCTAATCCTCCCGTGAATCTAGGTGTGGCTCCTACATTCCCAGGCTCCAAGAATTCTGTCTTTTCAAATAAACCACACTTTCCCCAGGTTTGCACTGTGCCCACCAAGGGCTGGGCACTCAGCTGGGCCCCAGGTGGGCAGGTTACCTCACTGCGCCGCCCCCCTCCGCCGCCCGTGCCAACCCCAGGAAGTCAATAAATGTCCCTGAGGCCATGTAACCAGAAAAAGGTGGGGCTGGGATTCCAACTTGGAAGAGGTCGATTCCTGAGCCCTGCCTTTACCTCCTCCCTGCCGCTTCTACCCCAGGTTCAAGTTCATCTTCTCCCACTGCCACCAGCCACCAAAGAACTAGAGGCCAGACCCAGGTGGCCCCAGAAACCCTCAGATGGTCTCCTGGACCTGCAACCCACTCACCCCCCTCTCTCCACCAGCACCCAGCACCATCCCATCCCCACCCAGGCCTGGCCCCTTTGGTTTTATCGAGCTGCTCTTTTCTTTCCCTACCACCCACTGCAGTTAACAGGCCCCATCAGGCAGCACCCACAGGCCACTGGTCTCCCATCTCCAGGCACAGACATCAGGATGGGCCCTGCTGACCCATGCAGCGCTGGTGCTGGTGCCTGTGCCTGCCGGGCAACCGCGCCGATGGGGTGTCACCTCGCCGGAGACGCAGCCCCAGAACGGGGCTGTATCTGGCGTCAGATGCCGGCTCCAAGTCCTGCATCGGCCACTTGCACAAGGTCCGGGCTCCAGCACTCACTCCTGTTTTGTGACGTTTGTCACAGGAGCCACGGAACCATGTGTCACCGGGTGGCTCACCCCGGTCTCCCCCAGCAGAAGGGGCAGGGACCGGGGCTGATCTGCCTGTGGCTCCGTGTCCCCGTGCAGGGCACGTCGGGGCCTCAGTTTCCCTGTATCTACACCGAGGCAGATGGGCTGGGTGGCCTCCAAGCCCCTCTCCAGCTCTAACCTGGTGTGGTTCCAAGACCAACAAGCAACAGTCCCCTGCCTGTGCTTATTATTGTCGTCAGCTTCAAGCCCTGCTTGTATAAATAAATAATGGCCACATTTAAAATGCATCTTTCATTATTAGATTATTTTCTGGGAACAGGGAAAGAGCAAGGGTGCAGACTGGGAAGAAAGCAGAGGAGACGGGCCCGACAGAGGAAGCCTGGGGCGGGGCGTGCTGTTAACAAGGAGCAGGTGCGCTGCGCTTCCCCGCGCCCTCCCTCTCCTCCGCTGTCCCATCTGAGCCCCTCCGCGCCCCCTGCGGCCCCTGCAGCAGGTGTAATTATGGTCCCATCACGTGACAGAGGAAATGGGGCTCCCTTGGACCCCTCTGGCTGACAACGTTTAGCTGGTAAGCAGCAGAGCCAGGTTACGAATCGAGGTCTCTGACTCCAGCTCCAGCGCCCAGGCCCCAGGCCGGCCACATTTCCACTTCATTGAGGAACACCCTGTTCCCTTAGAAGCTCGTGAGGTCAGAGGCCCTGGGACCGAGCCACCAGCTGTGGACATCCTACCAGGACAGCCTGTTCCCCCCACAGCTGCTGAGCTGGCGAAACCAAACTCACCACTGGCCCACCCTATTTACAGTAATTCCCTCCGCACTGCAGAAACGGGACCTGAAACTGCCTGCAGGCAGCAGGATGGGGTGAGAGTGGGGTGATGGGGCAGGGGGGCAGCCCCCTGGGCCCATGGGAGGGGGCTGTCAGGGGAATGCCCTTCCGTGTCTGGGGAATGGAACTTCTGCTTTGCACAGAGAGCATCAGGCTCCCTGCTCCTGGTCCCACTGCTGCGCCGCCAAAGGGCACCACCGCAGGACGCCAGGTTCCAAGGTGAGGATGGGGCCCAGTGCCTGGGGGGTGGCCTGCAGGGGGTGGTGATTCCCACAGTGGGGATTCCTGCCTGGGCCTTGACCCCGGGAATCACACTGCCTGGAGGTGAACTTGGGGATCTGCAGCCGCCCAGGGCCCAGGGGATGGGGAGGCAGCCTGCCTGGGAGCCACCAGCAGACGGGCTGTGTGGTCACAAAGACGCAGGCTGAGTCCTGCTTCTGCGTCTTAAGTGCTGGTGACCTGGGGCGAGTCACAGAACCTCTTGGCCGAGACCCTCTCTGGGGATAACAGAACCTTTCAGGGGTCTTATGTGCCCTAAAGGAGGTCAAGGTCACCCAGTGTTTAGCAAACCACCTGGACGAAGATGTCAGAGGCAGAGGGATGTGAGACCCCAGGTCCCCCTCCACCCAGCCCAGACCTTCTTCAGTACCTGCCTTCTCTTACTTCCTTGCATTCTGCTGAGAAAGCATAGGATGACTCTTTCGAAGGAATGATTTGACTTGCACCACCCCAGGGACCTTTATTTTTATTTTTATTTTTTTTAGGACCATCTCATTTAATCCTCTGGCAGCTCTTTCAGATAGAAATTAACTTTTCCAAAGAGGCTCAGAGTGGTTCTGGCTCTTGCTTGAGGTCACACAGGGAGGTAGCGGCAGAAGGGCAGGGAGGTTCAAGGTCAAGTTGGCCTGACTCCAAGTCAGGGACAAAGGAATTGTTGGGGCTGGAAGGAGATGGAGGGGTCAGCGATGCAGGGAAAGACATGAGGGAGGGGCAAGGCTGGCGGTGGTGATGGCTGGGGAAGGCAGCAGGGGCGGGGTGGGGGTCCCACCCGGTGAGACTCAGCAGCCCCTGAAGTGAGCCAGAGCCCGGATTCCCCTACACCCCCCAACTCCCACCTCCCACTGCCCCGAGAAGCCTGGGTCTCATCAAAGGTCGGGACCCTGCTGTCCCTCCACCCGCCTCACTGATGGGCGCTCTGCACCCCTGGGCCGCCTCTGCCTGAGATGCAGCCCCTCCCCAAGCCCAACCTCTCAAAGAGACCGACCCTCTGCTCCTTTTCCGATCGTCTTCCATCCTGTCCCATGACTTGGGGATTCTGAGATGATGGGGACCATTTTAAAAGCAACGAATACGTAGTACGCACTTCCAGCACGCCACACCCTGCCATCAGCCCGAACTCCTCTGTCCTCCCAGCAGCCCCGCGAGGCAGAGATTGGTGTTAGCCCCGTATCGTGGGAGCAGCTGTGGCCAGAGAGGAGCAGTGAGCTGTCTGAGGCCCTCAGCTAAGAAGCGGCAGAGGCCTGCTGGGGGCCCCGGCAGCTGATTTCCTGATGACGCCCCAGGTCCCTCACCACCCGTGTGTGTGTTTGCTGCCTAACAGCCACAGTGACAGTGATGACGAGAGCTTCCTTCACGGGGCAGCGGCCCCGGGCCCAGCTCGGCTGCCAGTGCAGCCCATGCACTAGTGCCTCCTGTCGGGCCGTCTGGCTCCAAGGCCCATGTTCTCACCCTCCAAGTACCGCAGCCTCCTAACACCCTGTGAGTGTTATGACCCAACAGGTGTGGGTTTGAATCCCAGCCCCTCGGAGCTGTGTGACCTTGACTGAGGTTCTTATTGTCTCTGTGCCCAGTTTCCTCATCCATAAAATGAGAGGTCAGGGATGCCTTTCTCCAGACACAGTTGTAAGGACCAAGTTCAATGAGATAAGGGCATGTCAGGCACAGAGCCTGGTCCCTGCTAAGTACCTGACACATGGATTATGAACGTTGTCAGACTGTCATTTTGTGAGACCTCCAGCAACAGTGGGAACTGATGTTCATTCAAAAATGAGCAGGGTCCCCTGAAACGCCCTCTCTCCGGAGCAGGGCGGAGCCTAAGCTGGTCTCTCTCGGTCACAGTCACAGCCCCGGTGCAGCCTCCCAGACCAGAACCTGGCATAACGCGGGACTTCAGGCAGTGAACTGATGGAACCAGACTGGGGGGTGAGGCTGGTTTTCTGGGCACGTGAGCCAGAACCCGGCAGGTTTTTCTGGTCCCAGGGAGGCCTCCACGTGCCAAATTCTGGGCTGGCCCAGTGAGTGCGAGGCAGGGGTGGGAGGAGTCTGGCCATAACAAACTCCCAGATAACCGTGGGCAGGGTGCTTCCTAACGTTTGAGCCTCAGTTTCCCCACTTGCAACAGGGGAAAATAATCACAACCTACTTCCCCAGAGGGCGGTGAGGACCCAATAGCAGCGGCGGCGGCAGCAAGTCTGAGCCAGAGCTCGGACCCCTGTGGCCCTTCCCGAGCCACGGCCCCCCGGGGTCCCCACCGTTGTCCTGGGAGGTGTGCAGGGACCGCTCTGTGCTCCCGTTTCAAGAGCAGGAACCAGCTCAGCCTCTGTGGCCTGAGGGGTGATGAGAAAAGGCTTACCGGAGGAGGAAACTGTGACCCAAGGCTCGATGGAAGGGGAGAACTCGGATCTGGGCAAAGAAGGAACGGGCTGCCTTGGTTAGGTAATGAGCTGCTCATTACTGAGACGGTGCAAGTTAAAGATGGAAGAGCCCTTGGCAGAGATGTCATTCAGGAGACTAAATAGCAGGCTGACGTTTCCTCAAAAAGTTAAACACGGAATTGCCATGAGAGCCCAGGCGGTAATTCCAGTAATTCCATTCCCAGGTAGAACTAAAAACAGGTATTCCAACAATTCTTGCACCTGGCTGTTCGCAGCAGCACTACTCACGATAGCTGCAAGGTGGAAACTTCCCGAAAGCCCATCAGCAATGGAGGGAAAGACAGACTGTAATATGTCCATACAATGGACTGTTGCTCACCCATAAAAGACAGAAGGTGCTGATGCTTACTGCAGGACAGACGGACCTGAACAACGTTATGCTGAGTGAAATAAGCCAGACACGAAAGGTCACGCACTGTATGATTTGTGTTATGTTGAATGTCCAGCTGAGGCAAAGCCACAGAGTGGGAGAGCGGATTGGCAGTTGTCAGGGGCCGAAGGGGACGTGGGATTGGGGAGTGAGTGCTTAGTGAGTACAGTTTTATGGGGGGGGTTGAAAATGTTTTGGAACTAGAGGTGGGTGTCACACAACATTATGAATGTGCTAAACAACACCTAAATGTTCACTTTTAAATGATCAAATTTATGTTAGTGAGTGTCAGCTCGATTTAAAACAATAAGTGATGGGTTGGACTCGATGAGGTTTAAGGTCGAGTCCACCCTGAGGACTGATGCCATGGGCGCCGGCGGTGCCGCCCAGCTCGAGATGGCCCAGAGCTTCTCCTAGCTCTCTGGGCTTAAGGAGGGCCCAGCACCACCCTCTCACCCGGGGCCACAGCCTTTGGAGGCACCCGGGAGTATCCTGCCGTAAGACATGGGCTGGTCCGCTGGCGGGGACACTGGCTTTAGTGACCGACAGGCCTGGGTTCGAGTCCTGGCTGCAGTCCTTCCTATGTGACCCCCAGCAAGTGACTCGCCACCCTGAGCTTCCGTCAGGGTCCCCTTCAGTGTAGCAATAACCGCTTCCTCCCTGCGGGGCTGCGCTGAGGATGTCAAGTAGCTCACTGCGCGAGCAGCGTGGGCACCCTGAGTTTAGAAGCTGTAGTGAATGAGAACACTTAGGCTAAAATCCAAAACCTGCAGGCCACTGTTGCTGGGCCCTGACCCCTCCCTCCCCTCTTCCCCCACTGTCCTTCTCTGCCGCCCCCCACCCCCGGGGGACATTCTCGCCCCGGCCCTTTGTGAATTTCCACGTCTCAGAGATGCCTCCCCATCTAGAAACTGTCCCTCACAAAGCAGCCCCCCCCCCAGCTCCCTCTGGACTCACCACCATCTCTCACCGGTTCTGTTCACTCCCACGCTCACCTGCTTATCAGCTGTCTTCCCCTGGACTGTCGGCTCCACGGCAGCGGGGCCATAGCCACGTGTTCACCACTGTATCCCCAGCATCTGGAACAGGGTCTGGGGGACAGGGCACGCTCAGCGAGCACACCGACGACTGAATGACTGAACGCGCAAACAAACCAAGAATGAGTGGACGGATGAATTTAAAAAGAAATGAGGAGGCACCACAGGGCCAACCCACCACACCTTCTTCTTGTCCCCCCACAGGACGCAGCCGGGACAGCACGGTGATGAAGACCCTGAGGGGTAGCCCCCTGCTGCTGCTGCTGCTGCTGCTGCTCCTGGGGCCACCGCATGTCTCCCAGGCCCAGAAGTGCACCGGGCACCCCGCCATCCCCGGCGTCCCGGGCATTCCGGGGACACCAGGAGCTGATGGCACACCTGGGACGCCAGGGATAAAGGGAGACAAAGGTGCTGTGTACTCTGGGGACACATTGGTTCACTGACTGAGGCCCCACCCTGTCCCAAGTCACAGTTGCCCACTTTAGAGATTGCAAAAACACTTAATCCATCCATCAGCTGGCTGAGCTCTTGCTATAACTTTGCCAGGAGGGAATTCGGATTCCCATTTTACAGATGGGAAAACTGATGTCCAGAAAGGCCACTGACTTGCCCCAAGGAGCTCAGTAAATGTTGAGGCTGAGATGAGATGGCGGATCTCTGACCACTAAATCCAGGTAGAGAGAGGGTGCCACCACAGTCACGCCTCCCTGGGCTACCTCTCTGAATGGCTGTTCCCTTCCCTGTAAAATGCGGACAGTACTTTGTGGGCTTGTCACAGGGATCCAGTGAGACTCCCTGCCATCCAGGGGGCCCCGTGAAATGTAGTTCCTGCGTTCACTGACTCAGAGCCAACCAACCTCTTTCCCCAGATGGGCTCATTCAGTCCTCACAAGCCCACAAAATCTCATCATCCCCATTTTACAGATGAGGAGGCTGAGCCGTGGAGAATCTGACTCAGTCAAGGTGGCACAGCTAATAACGGCAGACATGACGTGATACGCACTTCTGTCTGTCCCCCGAACCCATGTTCTCCGCCACTAACCCCCGCCACTCTATGGGAAAGAGGTTTTATCTTGTGTTGTGCCAAACGGAGGGGTAGCAGCTTCTTGGAGTGGTGGAGTGGGAGGGTTCCAAGCCCCTCTTCCAGGTTCAGCAAGAAAGTCTGCACAATTGGTTGGGGACGTCAGCCACGGGGGAGGGGACAGAGCAGGACCGCACGTGTGCCGATAATTACCCGGCCTCTGGGCTGAGGGCTGAGCAAGGGTGCTGTGTGAGCTAGTGAGGAGGGCTGGCCCAGCCCCTCCCTCGGGGAGACCCTGCTCCTGCCCCATGGGTGTCAGTCCCCACTGTAGCCAAGCACATCACAGACTCAGGGAGCAGGGCTGGAAGGGGACTTGGGGGCCCTCGGACCAGCCTCCTCTTTTTCACCAATGAGAGGCTAAGGCCCAGAGACGAGCAGGGACCTGCCCAAGGTTGCTCAGCCAGGCCCCCTGCCTCTTAGCCCAGGGCCCCTTTCTTCGGTTCTTGGTAATCTCTTGCCTCTGCTTTTCCAGGGATGCCAGGGCAAGCTGGCGACCACGGCGAGTTTGGAGAGAAGGGGGACCCGGGGATTCCAGGGAAGCCAGGAAAAGTCGGCCCCAAGGGCCCCATGGGCCCCAAAGGCTCCCCAGGGCCCCCAGGACCCCGTGGCCCCAAGGGTGAATCGGGAGACTACAAGGCTACGCAGAAAATCGCCTTCTCCGTCACGCGGACCGTCAACACGCCGCTGCGGAAGGACCAGACCATCCGCTTCGACCACATAATCACCAACGAGAACAACAACTACGAACCTCGCAGTGGCAAGTTCATCTGCAAGGTGCCCGGCCTCTACTACTTCGCCTACCACGCCAGCTCACGAGGCAACCTGTGTGTGAACCTCATGCGGGGCCGTGAACGTGGGCAGAAGGTGGTCACTTTCTGCGACTACGTCCAGAGCACCTTCCAGGTCACCACGGGCGGCATCGTGCTCAAGCTGGAGGAGGGGGAGAGCGTCTTCCTGCAGGCCACAGAAAAGAACTCTCTGCTGGGCATGGAAGGTGCCAACAGCATCTTCTCTGGGTTCCTGCTCTTCCCGAACCCAGAGGTGTGACCGTGGGGCTGATTCATCCCCCTCCCCACCCCTCGCCCACCAGCAAAGCTCACTTTACCCCCAACACCACCTCTGCCCAGCCAAAGCACACAGCCAGTCTCCGTGGGTGCGCTGAATGAATGAGTAAATAAACTCGTCCCGACCGAGGGCCAGTGTCTAATTCAGCTCTGTGTCCCAGCGCCTGGCACATGGTACGTGCTCAGAAATGAAGCTTGAATGCTAGTTGAATGACTGAACAATGACTGAATGAGTGAATGAATGACCTCTGTCAACAGGAACTCTATCTAACTGAAGGTGATTGGAGGGCCAGACTCTGTGTCCAGCTCTGTGACAGCCACACAGTAGGAGGTCGGAGGGAACACCATCATCTACTGAGTGCCTACTATGCTCTAAGCACTCAGCTAGACCCTCTCCTCATTCTCTCATTAATCCCCACAGCCATCCTGGGAGTCATGCTGCATTGTGCCCAGTTTGCAGAGGAGAGAACTGAGGATTGGAGGGAAGAGGAGGTTGTCCTCAGCCCCCCAGCAGGGCTGGGGCCCAAGGGCAGGCCTGCCTGCCGTGAGCTGAGACCTCTTTCAAGGCAGCCTGTCCAGGCCAACCACGAAAGGGGGTTTTCTGCTTATAATGTCACATACCCCCACTCAAGGGATCAAGGGTCCCCCTCCACAGTCTTAACTGACCTGGAGCCAAGACCCTTCCCCTTATGAGTCTCCCCTTAGGGTCCCCCTCCTAGTAACTTCCCAGACTGGCACAAGCTCCGCCATCGAATGAGGACAAACGCCACTCCTCAGCCAGCTGGATGCAGTCCCAGCCCACGAGCCTGGCCTTCAAGGCTCTCTCTGTGGGTTGGCCCTCCTCTCCTTTGGTCAAAGACAATACCCACTCCAGACCAGCTGAGCCCTTTCTGTCTTCCAGGCAAACCCCAGGGCTCCTGCCTCGGGGGCCCCACTCACGTGATTCCCCTTTGGCTCTGCCCGTCTGGCCGGCCTTGAAAAGCTCATTGGAGCCACACCTCCTCCCCGAGACGTGCCCACTCCAGCCTCACATCTCTCCCTCCGCTGACCTCTCCTAACCCCCCTCCGCGCCCTCGGGTGTGAGCGTGCACAGCCTGCGTCTGCCCTCTCACTCATGCCTGCCCCATCTCCCCAGCCGGGCTGTGAGCACTTCATCCTGCCTGTGTTTGAACCTCTACCCCCACCCCAGAGCCCAAGATGCACTGCGGCCACTCAGTCAAGACTCAAGACCACAGACACAAGGCTCACCCACAGTCCCAGACCTGCGCCTTCTCTCTGCAGACCCTCCTACTAAGCCCTACTCCGTAAAGGCTGTCGACCAATCCTGACCTCAAGTAGGAGGGGTTCAAAGTACCCTGGCCTGTCACATAGGGTCATGGCACCACCCCAGGCTCCTGTTCAGCTGGCCTGTTTCTCAGGGCCCCATTCTTGGGCACGGCTTCTGCCCCCATCTCCCGGCCTCACTTCTGGCCTCGAGGACCTGCCCCAACTGCAGACTCTGCAACAGAGACCTGGAGCCTTTTCTCCAGGGCCTGAGGCTTCTTTTTGCTGCTCAACCCTTTTAATACAAACTCTGCCTGGTCTTTGAATCGAGTACTAATCATTACGATAATAGTCACCACATCACAATTGAGTTACTGTGCACCTAGTGCTTTATGAACATTAGCCCACTCAATTCCCACCACAAGTCCTTGCAGATACATAGTATTATCTCCATTTTACAGATAAGAGTCTGAGGCTCAGAGAGAGCAAGTGATCTGCCCACAGCCACACAGCCGACAGGTACATGGTGGAGCCTGCTTCTGCCTTTCTCGAAGCTCTTGCTGAACCTGTAGACATACCTACCACCTCCTTGCCACCCTCCCCTGTTGGAATCCCCTTCTACAGCCCCCGTTCACGGCCCCCCAGCCCCTCCCCAGATCCCGTCGGACCCCAGGAGTCCACATTCCTGAGCCTCTGTGGCTGGACCTGCCTATATGGTGCTACACTTCACCCCAGGGGCAAATCTGACTGCTGGTGTTGAGCCCATGCAGGGCACCCCCTTTCACCGCAAGGACCCAGGCAAAGCTGGCCAGCACAGAAAGTCAGAGTTTGTCTCCAGTGATGCTTCCAGTGGCTGGCTCTCACGCAGGACCCACACTCCTGACTCCTAACCCCGAAACGCTGACCCTGCAGCCCTTCCTCCACCAAAGCCCCCACCGCAGGCAGGACACGTCACAGTGCCCACTCGTGCCTTCCCAAAAGCTTCCGGGTCTGCCAGGAACCCGCGGCTCTGGCTGCAGGGTCAGCCATGCCCATAGAATCAAACACGCCTTGCTGTACACAGACACTGTACCTAAATGCTTCACCTTATCATTGCTCTTTCCCGGCCAGTGGGGAGGGTTCGCCTCTACAGCTCTCTGGGGAGACGACTGAAGTCCCATCACAGGAACCAGGAACCAAAATAACCAGGAAGCCCAGAGGCAACCGACTGCAGGCAGGTCTCAGGACCTGACCCATTCTTCCGCTGCCCAGACACCTCCTTTCTGCCCTTCCCTTCTAACACTCAGGGGGATGGGGTTGAAACTCAGACCTTCTGGCTGAGCTAGCAGCTGGGCAGAAGAATGAAGGAAGAGTGTCCCATCAGGCCTGTGATGCTTGACCTTCGTAAACTCACCTTGACCCTGACTCCCAGCTCTCAACATGACAGGGCCCTTTTAATTGCAAGAGACAGGAACCATCTTGAACTAACTTAGGAGGAAAGGAGGGTGGACCAAAGGTGTCCTATGGGACCCAGGAGCAGGTGGGATGGCCCAATCTCAGTGGACGTGGGGCCCAGACATGGACGCCCAGACATGGGCTGCTGTGTCTCCCTCTGAGACGGCCGGGCTCCGCGCCTCTCGCTACAGGTTAGTCCTCTCAACTGTTATGGCAGGTGGAGAAAATGCTTGCCCCCATCTCCCACCCCTGGCCCAACGATATCCTCTACCACTGGGTTAGCCTCTGTCCCTCAAGGAAGTGACATCCAGTTTCCAGATCCCAGGAGAGGGGATCTGATTGGTCGTCTTTGGAACAAGGACACTCCCGGCACCATCAGCGGAGGCCCGGAAGCAGAGGGCCTGTAACAACGGTAGCAGCCCACGATTGTTGAGCCCGGCAACTGATCTCCCCAGAGCAGTCACAACAAACCTAAGGAGTAGGTGCCCTCTCCAGCGGCTCTCAGACTCAGCAAGCCCCACAGCCACCAGGAGGGCATGTCAGTCGGCATTCGCATTTCCTGAGCTCCCAGGGGATGCTGCTGCTGCCCCCGCCCACCCCCCACCCTGGGGAGCACACTTTAAGAAGCACTCCTGGAATCTTATTGCTCCCATTCTACAGGTAAGACTAACGAGGCTCAGGGTGGGGCTGCTACTTGCCCATGTCACACAGAAGATCCAGGATTCAGATCCTGGTCTGTTTAACTGAGCGTTAAGCTCGTTGACCTGTGGCTCAGACTGCAGGGGCCCAGCCAGCCCATGGGTGGGGGCAGTTTTCAGAGCAGCGTGGGCGAGCCCTACTAAATGCCACCTCCTGGCTGCAGGGTCCCATCTGAGCTTCCCCACCTCTGCCGCAGTCCGTCCTGACCAGTGTGCCCCTCCCAGTGGCCCACAATGCGTTGAGCCAGTGAAGAGGAGGAAAGGAGGGTAAAGGGCAAAGGAGGAGGAAGGCAGGGGCTTAAGTAATAATAATCACAGCTCACCCAGTGCACAGGGCTAAAGGCTCGTGTTAACCCACGTAACCTTTACAATTTTGTTCCCCTTCCATGGATGGGACCACTGAGACAGGGCAGGTAGGTGACTTGCCTGTTGTTACACAGCTAGTAAGTAACAAGACGAGGATCCAGCAACACAAGGCAGCTCAGCGCTGGAGTCCGTGCTCTCGATCGCTGCTCCCCGTGGCAGGCAGGGGGCGCCCGAGGGGCTGTGTAGTGAGGCAGTTAGTCACCGGCTCTTGTGTGGGACAGATACGACTTCCAGTCCTGCCTGGGCTTCTCTCACTGGCTGTGTGACCATGCCACGTGGCTGCCCCTACTTCGCCCTCTTACAAACAAACAACGCAGCCGTGAACATCCTGCTACACATCCTCGATTCTTTTCTCGGGTCAAATTCCTAGAAGTGGACTCCCTAGGGGAAAGGATGTACAAACTTGGAAGGCTTTGAAATGCGTTTCCAAAGGGAGGGCTGGGCGTTGGCGGCTGCCCTGCCAGGCGAGGCCCAGGCGAGCTACCACCAGGGGGGAGCAGACACCAGGAGAAGGCCGGCCGGGAAGAGGGGCTGGCGGCCGGGTGGAGGGGATGGGGCCTGGAGGGTGGGAGCTCGCCGGTCCTCCCTCTCTCCTCCCCACGTCCACTCCACTCCCTGGGTGGGCTGTGAGTTTCCAGGGTGGGCTGATCGTCAGCTCTGAAGACCCAAGTCCCTCTAAACCAGGGTCCTCGAGGTGTGGTTGAGGTGTCGGCAACTATCTGAGCGCTTGTCAGAAATGCAGGTTCTCAGGCTCCGCACCAGACTGGCTGAGTCAGAAAACCTGAAGACGCGGCCCTGCCATCTGTGTTCTAACCAGCCCTCCGGGGGATGATCTGGGTACAGCCGGAGTCTGAGAATCACTGCTCTAGACCAGAGGTTGCCGTGCTTTCCCCGGAAAGGGCCGGATAGGGACTATTTTAGGCTTCGTGGGCCATGCCGTCTCTCTCGTGACCACTCCCCTGTGCTCGTGCAGCCAGAAAACGGCCACGGACAACATGGAGACAAATGAGCGTGGCTGTGTTCCAGCGGACGTTTGTGGACACTGGAGGTTGAACCGGACATAATTTTCATATAACACGAGGTATTTTTCTTCTGACTTTTCCCCCAACCATTTAAAAATATAAAAGCCATTTTTATCCAGCAGGGAGCACACAGTTTGTGGGCTGCACTTGCCAACCTGCTCCAGACCCGGGTGTGGCTCTAGGCTCGGAAGGAGAGGGGCCGGGCCCGGCGCCCAGAGCTGCCTGACTCCCCAGCCAGGGTGCCCGCCGGCCAGGTTCCCACCTTGGGACAGGACCAAAAAAATCCCTGGGCCTCGTTGCCCTTGACCGTAACATAGGCATTGCAACCCCGGGCACCTGGCCTCCAA